TGGCCGCCTCCTCGGGGAGTTTATATTCCATTTTAAGTAAAGTGTAGGCCCTAGGAGGGGGGGCGGCTAGTAGTAGTAGTAGTAGTAGTACTAGTACTAGTAGTAGTAGTAGTAGTATATTTTCATATAATATGTCCAGAGCAAGCAATGGGGCTTATAATATTGGGGGAGGGCATTGTGACATCTGCCTGCGGCGTCCAGGTATGAGCAAAAGTGACTGTCCCTGTGCACACCCCAAGACAGCCGATTCTTCAGTACTTTCCCAGAAAACCCAAAATCTGAACCCCGGATCCTAGAGTCCCAAGCCCTGAAACAAAGCACATGAGGTCCAGGCTATCCACCAGATGTGCCCTGGCGTGTATGGGTACTCCTACGACGATGGGATGGGCTTGATCACTTGCGACGCAACGCCAGCTGGCTCAATGAGTAGGTTTATGCAGTAACGGTTTTTGCCTCGGGTTCAGGGTAAGCCCGCCCCTAGCGCTAAAGCGGATGTTCCCCTTCATGGCTTACATGTATAGATGTGTATCTCAGTAGGGTTTTCGGTAGTTCCTTCTAACAGAAAGAAAACGGCACGTGGCTGATGAAAGAAGAAGCCCAAACTGCCTTGTGCCCACGAATGCAGCAACAAGGTCGACTTATATGTTCACAGTCGGGTGCCCTGGAAAGAAGCTTGATGAAGCGACGCCTGAGCGCAGCAATCGCACGCGGAAGGAGCACGTCTATGACATCCCCCGTGCGCACATTGCATCAGCAATGCGCGGACACAATTCCAGCACGAAAAAACCGGCACCCGCAGAGAAGCAGTCACTCAAGGAGGCTGGCAAAAATGTTTCGAAGGTCAAGGTCGCGGCGAAGAATCACACAGAAGAAAAGCCAGAGAAGAAGCCCTCAGAGCAGAAGCTCCAGCAAGGAAAGAGCAAGGAGGAGACGCTTTTGGAGAGCAAGCCCACAGATGAGAAGCGCCCAACGAACAAGTCTTCAGCAGGAAGGCTTGTGGAAGAGAATAAGACCGAAGAGAAGCCCTCAGAGGACAAGCACTCATCGGACAAGCACGCAGAGGAGAAGAGACTGGGGTTATGGGGATAGGGTTTAGGGTAAACTGTCATGTTGAGCTTGAAGGGAAATTACCCAAAACCTTGAACCCTAAACCCTAAACGCTGCACCCTAAAGGAAGTTAGGGTTCGCAGCGGTTGGCCTGTCTGGCAGGCCGACTCGTAAGCCTGCTCAGAAGCGGTTCAGGGCTTCATATAGTACATAGGAACAATGACAAGAATACAGAAGTTTCCATTTTCTTTTCCATGATTACATATAACAATAGGAGTAAGAACAGTACTAGTAATAGTAATAGTAATTAATAGTAATAGTAATAGTAATAATAACGCAGCACTCAGCTCTGGTTCCCCGAGTTTAGGATTCAGGGCTTGAGGTGTCGGGTAGAGACCAGCGAGGAGATGAAAGCCAGAGAAGGTACACAGCCCAAGGAGACGGGCGCAAAGGACGAGGAGAGCCGGAACTGAATCCTAAACCTAAACTGCAATAGGAGCCATAGTCTAAACTCCTTAAAGGCGGGTTATATAGCGGAGTATTCTAGGGGTTATTAAGGGGGATACTAGGAGTTTAGACAATAGCTCATAGGAGTTTCTGAAAGTTGCCTGTTCATTTCTGTGCGCGTATGCTGAGGATGCGAACATTCATCATTATTTGGACCCCTGCTTTGGAGTTTTGCTTTCATAGGGCCAGCAAGGAGTATCAATCCTGAAGCAGGGCCTCTTGAGGCTTTATCCCCAGCCTGTGACGTTCGATCCCAAATCGCTCGTGCCCAATTCCAAACATAGCCCCCGCGCCCTAAATCGTTTAAATTAAAGAGGAGGCTTGGGGATGAGAATTCGAATTTAAGCGCGTAGGGTGCAGGCACGGATTGGGTTTGGGAACGAAACTCAGGGTTTTTAGGTTGTAGGGGTCAGGTTTAGGGATTAAAGTTGAAGTTCTGGGAGGGTAGGGTTCAATGCTTACGGTTTAGGAAGCACTTGAGTGGTTTGGGTTTGAAGTTTGCAGTCCTCCATGCCATTCAGACTAATTTGGCCTACGGTCATGCCTTGACGCCATCCTGCCAAGCAGGCCCTGTATCCTAAATGCAAGCACTAGACTTGTGAATCTTGAGCCCGTACCTACCATCCTGAAGTTGACCTATATCCCTCATCTGGAACCCGCGCTAGACCCTAATCTGCGAACCTTCAATCCAGGGCCCTGAATTTGGTGGACCCCCCACCCAGTAATAGTGACCATAGGGGATAATAGGGATTATATTCGGGCCCTCCTATATTCCTATTATACCACTATTACAGGGTGGGGGGTCCTCCTAAGCCCTGAACGTAATTCTGCCCACAGCTTGAGAAGGAGAAACCCCATAGCCCTTCGGAAACCTCGCCGATGCTCGTGACACAGCTCCTTCTTGCAAGTTCATGGGTAGGCTTCTCTTTTCGGATTGCCTTTCGCAGGAAGCGCAGGGCATCCCCTCTGAGGGTCCTTGAAACAAGGGTTTGTCAATCAGGGATATATTCGAAAGTTAACGGTACTCAAATGTGCTCCTTATCGCGGATTTGTTCTATCCGAATTGCATCCCATGGCTGACCATGACCTCCAAACCATTTTTGTGCACCTGGCAGAGCAGAAAATTCACATAAACCCTAAACCTTCAGCCCCTAAAGCCTAAACCCTAACAACCCTAAACTTTCAACCCCGCTTTGCGGTTTTGGGGTTGGAAGCGCTCTGAGCGTTATGATGTTTAAGGAGTGCCGCAAGCAAACATGAGGCACCCAAACGCAAGGGGCAAGCTTACTTGAACTTCCATGTTTTTCGCGGGGCGGCTGTCCATGCTTGTTTGCTGATAGGTGGAATCAAGAAGACTCTTAGGGATCAAAGGAAGGTCGTGAGGTGTAGCAGACTGCCTTTAGACCCTGCTCTGCTGCGGTGGGCCTTTGCATTCGGGGAAGGTAGGGACCCTGAGTTCCTAAGCACTTCACTCGCCGAATACCAAATATAGGAGCCCCAGATAACTGTCAGCATCATTTGTCATGTTCCCCATTGGTTAGGTCTGCAACCCAACGCCAAAAATGCTATCCAAACTACACATGACCCCCTGCTAAACGCTAGATCCCCTCCCTCAAGCAAACATGCACCCTACAAAGGGCCTGATCAAGACTGCTGTCCTTCTTCGAGGGTTTATATGCGTTTTCAAAATGGTTTGGCGCCATACATCTTCCTAAAACTATGATGCGGGGCCCGTCCATGTAACAGCCTGTCACCCTAAGCCCCCAACCCTGAACTCTGATCCTTACACTCTAAACCTAGAGCCGTGTAGCTGAAGCCAGACCTAAAGCAGCTTAAGGCCCTAATCACTACGCCCTAAATCCGATTATCTAAACCCTAAATCCACAGCCCTAAAGCCTACAGCCTGAATCTAGAGCCCTGAACCCTGAATCCGTTTATATCTTAAGTCACATCCCTACTTAACCCCTATATTCCTATATAATTTCCTATATCCCTATATAAATCCTATATACCCTGGTGGCTAAAGACTTGCCGAGGCCATCCGAACTTGCCGGTCTGGTGGGATTGAAATGCAAGGAAGGGGCTACAGTCGTTTGCCCAGGCATGGCTGAAAGGCTTAGGGTTTGGGGCTTAGAGCGCAGGGTTCAGGATTTTGGGCTTACGGCTGACGGTTTAGGGTTCAAAATTCAGAGTTTAGGTTTTAAGCTGGCTAAGGCAAGTACCTACCACATGAAGATTGTATAACCTATACTACATATAAGCCGGAGCTTATATTGTGTGATATGGGTTTACGTGGGGGCATCAAAAGGAATTGGATAGGGTTCAGTGGGATTACCCCCCCCCCAAAAAAAGAGACTCAAACGGATTAGAAAATGGAGATGAAATCGAACCTGTGTTTTTTTTGGTTCTATACGGAGTACTTCCTCTGAGAAATTTTGACTGCAGCTCATATGCTTCTTGACAGCTTGCCATATCTCCGAATGACGAGACGGTCGCCTGTTTGCGGCCTCAAAAGCTAAACCTGAAAGACCTTAGAAAGTACAGCTGTGTTCAGGTCTCTGAGGAAGACCTTCTTACTTGAAGAGAACTCTGCCTGTAGCCAGGAGCGCAGCCACAGTTTCATCACTGTTTTTAAAGATTTAGGTCTTCGTAATTCTCCTGGTACAAGCCACCCCTACTTCTAAATGTTCTCCGAAGATTCAATTCTACTACATTGTCTTCCTATTCTATGATTATGTAAGTCCTACAGCTTTTTGTGGTCCTACCCACAAGGATCCCAATCAAAAGATAGTCTGAGCTAGCAAAGAAACAGGCGGCACCCTTTGCACAGGGGACGTGTGCTGCCCTGATGCTGAGTGGCAGAAGAAGCGTTTTTTTTTTTGTCTTCTGTTTTTTTCTGTGGTGCTGTTGTGGCCAGTTTTTAGATGTCAAGATTCAGTCAGGATTCGGGGCTTGGAGTGTTCGCCAAAGTTCCCTAGAGCTAAGTTGTTTCTTGCGGGGCCCCCAAAGCTGCAATCCATAAGTTTTGGCACGTGCCAGCTGACGGAAAGAAACTTTTCTCTTTTGCCGTAAATGTAAACTCCTCCTATCAAAGCCTAGCAGTTGTTGCAGCACACTTTTGAGGCCCCAGCTGTAAGCCTTTACCCCACTAGCTCCCAAACCACTTCTAGAAGGTGAGTTCTGAGCGCTTAGAAACTGCAACCTTAGCCTCTTATCCACCAAATCCCAACCCCCGCGTGATCTGATGAGCTCCCAATGACCGGCAAACAGTAGACTCAGGGTGTCCCGTTTAGATTCGAAGGGTGGACAATTTGCTCCCTCCCTGCCGAACAACTAGAAGGAGGGAAAAGTTATTAGCATGAATCCTGCTGATTCGACGCTCTCACTGTAAGGCCGGTACTGCAAGCCTTAAATCCGAACCCCAGCCTGAAACCTAAGTGTTAGACCCTAGAAACCTAAATGATTGCTAACATGGGTTGGTGCGCCATTATTTTAACCCTAAACCCTATATGCCTCCGTGTATCCTTGCATGTCCCTAGGAATCCCTATATGACCCCTGTACCGGCCACCCTAAACCTTGAAGCTGAAATCCTAAATATCCCCATACAGTTGTTCTCACAGACACCCTCCACCTACTCTCTATTCAGGCCTCTGTACCCACTTTTGGGGACCCTGTAACCCCAATCAATTGAGGGTACTGGGAGGTTCTTAGGTTAGAGGAACGCTGGGTATCCTAGATTCCCTCTATGCGGACCTTAGCGATTTTGTGGGTTTTACCGACTTCTACGCTACAGAATCCTTCCATGTGACCCATACCGAAGTCCTGTCTCATCTTCTTTTCCAGTGGCTTCTCCACTAGTGGGGTAATATCTTTAAGCCCTTTAAGAGTCCCTCTATAAACCATATATGACTCCAATAGAGGTCTTTATCTCAACCCTGTATAAACCCTACAGAACCCCGATAGAATCTATATACATATTTAGGCCCAGGACCCTAAGCCTTAAACCCATGACCCTAAGCCCCACACCCAAAACCCTACACCCTAATTAATCCTTAATCCCTAACCTCTAAACCCTAATCCCTAAACCCTAATCCCTTAACCCTAAACTCTAATTCCTAAACTCTAATCCCTGAACCCTAATCCCTAAACTTTAATCCCACATCCCTAAACCTTACCCCTGCAACCCTAATCCCTAAACAGGATGGCAGCACTTGTCCATCAGCCTCGAAGCCGCGCGTGGGGCAGTGCGGTGCAAAGAAGGCTTGGCTTCAGGGAGCTCCGGTTTAGGGTTTAGGGTTTAGGGTTGCTGTGAACGAAGTTAAATTAAGCTATATTATCCCTCGATAATGGAGAATCAAATGGAAAAGAACATGGACAATTGAATGGAAACTGGGGGAATATAGGAATTTAAGGAACTTAAATTGAAGCGACCATAATGCCCAATTTAGTGACTTAAACTAAGCTCCTCAACAGCAACCCATTTAATGGGGCAGCCAGGTATATGCGATGATTTGGAGGGAAGATAGGGATGGGGGGTCTTTCGAGTGATATCTTGGGATACATAGGGATTCAAGAATGTGTAGGGATAGGGGACCCTTCAGACGGGGTATCTAGGGATATACAGGGATTTAAGGATGTGTAGGGATAGGAAGCCTTCAACGAGGTATCTAGGGATATACAGGGACATAGAGAAATGTTGGGCTGTATAGTGTTTAGGGCTCAAAGGATTAGACCCCGGTGCTGAAGCATTTAGACCCGTGGGTTAAAGGGCTTAGTCACAGGGCTCTCTGACGGGATTATACGGACGGTGTTCGCAGGAACTCTCTTAGAAAAGGTTTGGGGTTGCGGGGCTCAGGATATATAGGGTACTCTGACTATTCAGGGCCTTGTATCTCCAAGGAAGACACAGTATGGGAGCGGCTGTGGGGTCGAGGATTGCAAAGATTTTGAAAGGCATGCTTTACAGTGATCATGTAGGGATATACAGGGTTCAGGGTCAGAATAAGGCTTGGGCAGCCTGCCGCCAAGGGGCAGGCCTAAAGTTGTAGTCTTTATGTGTGAGATGTAATCCCTCCCCCAGAAATGAGGCCTCTCAGGCCAACTTGCCCCAACATGGTGTTATTCTATATTCGAGGTATAGTTATTCTGAAAGTGTGAGGTGTTAGTAGTAAGTCAGGGAAAA